GCCCCTGAGGAAAAGTGGAAGAGAAAAAAAAAAAAAAAAAAAGAGTAGGGAACACCTTTACATTGTGAAAAACAATCATCCACTACCCTTGTATATGTTGCGATATTAAGCAAACTGTCCCTACCAGCCCCAAGTAGTCCCTCTGTATCGATGACTACAACCCAGTGCACAGGGTCCATAGCTGCCCAAACACCCACAGTGCAGGACTCTTGGGTGGGTGAGGTCTTGAACACTTCTCTCCCAAGGAAAAATGTATGGTTCAGGGTGTGGGACTTGCCTTCCCCAGTGTTTCCAAAGATGGAGACCACCTTGAGGAGTTCATCTGGCCTGCAGCCCAGTCTACTGACAAAGTCCTCCTCATCCTTCACCTGCAAATCCACACAAGATCAGCAGCAGCATAGTGCTATCCAAAGTTTAAAATGTGTTCTCAAGCATTTACCTGCATCTCCTCCTTCTCGTTCACCAGAAGGAAGCTGGACACTTTCTCCAGCTTGGCTTTCAGGATCTCAATCTCTGACTCTCCAGCAGTAACGCTGTTCTCCTGGGGAGTTTTGACAGGTGGATAAGGTGTGAGAGGGTGCTTCCTCTTATTGGCTCCACTGTGGGTGCGTTTCTGGCAGTCCAAACACAGGTTGATCTTACAACCATGGCAACGCACCACAGCCCTGAGCCTTCCACCATTTACAGAGCAGCTGCCGTCACCTTTACAGGAGTCACAGAAAGGGATATGACCTGGTGCAATTCGAACCCTGTCATGATTCTTCATTCGCTCCTGACGATGGAGTTCCAGTTCACAGCGGGCACACTGCAAGCTACCGCATTCATCACACTCAAATGCAGCTTCATCTGAACCCCCACAGGCATAGCTCTCTTGACACACAAGGATTGTGTTCATTCCTTTATCTACAGCTGGACCTTGACGACTCATCTCAGACTTGACAGGTCGATATCCTTATTACTGACTTAAAATATCACTGACAATTACTAGGGTTGCAATAGCAGTGCAGTGGAAGACACAAGGTTATGGCACAGCCAAGTAAATCTCTATGACCAGATGTGGTGTAAACTGTTTGTTGAAATTCTCCAAAAAAGCAAACTCAAACATATACAATACTGTCAAAAAAATACTATGAACTGTTCACTTCAGCAACTTCTTACAGCTCATTGTCAACGAAGATATTAATTCTGTAGTAAAGTAAGTCTAGGGAGTAATTCAAGCACACTTGTCCAGACTAGCAGTTACTTTGTTTTCGTCCAACACTTTGCTAGTTGGCTAATATTAGCTGCCCTGCAGCTCTTCTCTTCTTGTAGTAATGTTGCAGCTCAGCTGACGATGACAAGATCCTATTTAAAAGTAGCACACGGTATAGTCGTCGCAATACCTAAAAATACCTTGGAATAAATAGTCATTAGCTACCACTGGCTACACAAAGAAACACCTTTCTGGAGAAAGAAACAGCTTTCAGTTCCATCTAGCTGTGTCCGCCGACGGGCGACGACTAAATGGATAACTAAATGCTGCCTCAACACAGTCTAAAACTGGACACACACACTATCTTACATCATACCGCCGACTGCCTCATAAAGCTAACGTTGGTAAGAACGTTAACCACTTGAGCTGTCTGGGCTCAAACCGCCGTAGATGTTCTTGCGTTTACATCAGCTGATCGGCTTGTTTTTATCCAGAGGTCAAAAGTCATGAAAACAATGCATTTGGGGAAATGAAGGCGCGTTAAACTATTGCGTTAAATCTATTTTTAAAGTGTGGTTTTCTGTTTTTAGTACATATACCAGTTTATAGTTCTCACATGCTATCGAAAGATAATTTGATAGTAGCTAGCTGGGAACTTAAAGAAATTGAGGGTATCGAGACAAGACAAGATACTGACGTTACCCGTTGCCCATAATGCTTTGTGCGTTCCAGCTGCTGTAGGGTTTGTTATTATTTTCACCGGCGTACACCGAAGCTTACTTGGGAAGAAGAATAGCGACTGATATTAGTACACACAGCGTTAATATCAGTTAACGAATCATAAGAATAAAAACATATCTTACGATTAAATACTATAGATATTTGAATCCGTCTCGTTTTTGTATGTTAGCCACTTTTACTTCGCTTTCGTCAAGCCTGGACACCAGGGTGTACATAACCAATGCACCAAATGCAAGGATTGTTGTGGCAATAAACGTTTTTGCCCAAAGACTATTCCGTATTTTACCCCTACGGGTTTCCCCTAATATTTTATGTTAACAGCCGTAAGTAAGCTCCCATTTAAAAATTTTTATCCCGTCACCGCGAAAAGACATCAGCTTGTCTTCTTATGCTGCCAACGTTAGCTCAGTGCTAACGCTCCACTGTTAGCTTGTTAGCTGTGTCTCCGACAGTGCTCACTTGTCTTCTTTACTGTCCTAGTTTTTGTCGCATTCGGGATGGATGATGAAGCATTCGCAGACATTAGTGGCAAAGCCATATCTCTGGACTGTCAGAGTCACTCTAGTTTCTGCAGGGAGTTCACGGTCAGCTCCCCCAAAGTGTCCATCAGCAAGGTGTTGGGGTACACCTGCGTTGTTTGGCTTTTAGCATACACCGTGTTCTTCTTCACAGAGGTAAGCCTGATCACTTGAATTTCCTGACTGAATCACTGTGCACATATCACTGTGATTAGTCTAAATGCCCTATGTTCTGCCTGCTTTCATATTATCTTAGCCATAATAAACCATCATATTGTCACATTATTGACCTTTAGACATTCAAAAAAGACATTAAAATATATCGCATTACTTGCTTATTAGTCTCTAGCTGCAATAGTAATCCTATCTGTTTACTGAATTTGTGTTAAACCAGACCAGGTGGACATAGTATTAGTGATAGTCTATTCATGTAAATGTTCCGAATAACATTATCCCTTATGTGGGAGTTTGATGGAGCACATACAGACGTTACGCTGAAGTCGACCTGCATGTCAATGCCTCTCTCTTGTAGAACACGGCTGTTCTGTCCAGTGCTATATTCATCACCCTGGTCGGGATGGTGCTTCACATCCACTTTGTGAAAGTTGACCACGAGTCCCTGCTCGTCATTGGCTCCTTGGGCATTCAGGTGTCCTCCAGCTACGCCTCAGGCCGCGAGACCACCACATTCATTGAGATGAGCAAGATCAAGGATATTGTCATCAATGAAGCTATTTACATGGTGAAGAAGAAAATTTATGTCACTCTCTATGACTTGTGTACAGTTTTACCTTATTCATAGTTGTTTTAGATTGTTCATACTGCTGTTAAGTCACTGTGTGTCTTATGCATTTATTTCAGCATCAGATCATCTACTACCTTTGTGTACTGTTGAAGGACCCCTCAGAGCCTAATGCAGTGTCAAGTGTTGTGCCGTTGTTTCAGGTAAGGATGAATTCAAGGGATTCCCATAATCAGAAAGACACTTGATTTACACAAGTTGCTTGTTTACCTCCTGTAGAAAAGGTATTAACAGACACAGTGTGGTTCACAGGAATCTGTTTCTACCTCTTTCAGAGTTCAAAACCGAGACTAAACTGCTTGGTGAAGGTTTACAAAAGCTGTCAGGAGATTCTTTCAAAATGCTGATGACATGCAAGTTACTTTCTCCTCTGGTCTGTTTTGGTAAATCTTAATTTGATTTGATGTACAGTGTATTTTTTAATGATTTTTCTTCGTTTCTCACCTGTATGAATACACCCAATTCATGTGAATGTAAGCTGTTGCCATATATTAATACAACTACTATGACAACAGTGTCATAAGTACTTTATGGAGTACTTTGTTCTCTAACTACCTGAATATCATAATGTCTTAGACTGTTTGTTTAAATCTAAAGAGCCAAACATTTTAACTGACTTTGTAATAAAAGCTAAAAATGACATAATTAAAATGATCTTTTTATAGTTATTTATTTAGAAAGGACTAATTTTTATCATGTCTATTTTATAAGCATTTTCACAATTGTTTTAATGAAATTGATTTGCTGAAAATATTATTCCTGTACTTTTTTGCCATTGTGCTTGTAATTAGTGTTTTTAGGGAGTGTGATCATTCCTCCCCAGAAGGGGGCAGCACTTCTCCTGAGGTATGCTGAATGTAAGCTTGATACTGTATTCAAATTATCCTTGGTTGTCCACATGGTTTTGAATGTTTTTGAATTGACCCTCTATATCCATAGAAAGTTTTAGAAAGGTTTCGAAGGAGACGTATAAATGTGTAGTGCGAAATGTGGTGTGTGCACAGAATGTTTTTATAAATAAACACCCACACCTTCTTCCTGAGATGTATTTTCACTTCCTCATAACTATAACTTCATCTCTCACTGAGTTGGTCACGTTTACCTCAGTTGTCTGTTGACTTACTGTTAATATTACCAGACCTGTTTTCTGAGATGTTACTTGAGTTTAACTCAAAGGCCAAATGACAGTGGCAGTGCTTGTAGGATCAGTTTGTGAAGAATTGCATAAGAATAACACTAACACACTTCAATTCAGAGTATTGCCCTTACCTCCTGATAAATTTCCATAATTAAGTCTTTAAGAATATAAAAACATGACCTGATGCTACTTTTAAGATCAACTTTTTGTTGAATTGTAATCAGATTATTGTTATTGCGTCTCTGAAATTAGTGCTCATGTCAGATGCCTTTTAGATGGCACCTGAGCACAAAGTATGAACTTAACAGAATTGAGTCAGGTACACAGAGTACAATAATTAATGTGAACCACTTATAGCACTATTTAAATTAAGTGCTATAAGTGCAACAAAGTAAAAAACAGAATGCGTTCAGTACCTTCCACCATGCGTTTTTCTCAGAAATGCATTGTGGTTGAAACAAATTTATAACATTGCCTATGGTTAAAGTTTAATGGGCCTCTACTGGCCAACAGTTTAAACATTGTAGCCTCTATTTTCACCACCACTTGGTCTGCAGTTTCCCCTCAGGACCTTGTTTTTTGCAGCTATTCTAATTCTCGATCATCTACCATCTGTAGCTTCCAGTCAGACCTGAGTGTGAAAGTCCGTGCTCCACAGGTCAACAAAACAAGCAGAAGGGTGTGATTTTCACGGGGCGAAGTGTTACGCTGTGAAGAGTGACCCTCTGACAGGATAATAGTCCCTCCTGAAGGTGCAAAGCAGCTAGGAACCAGGAGAAAACCTGAGGGTGACCAGGAGTAACACCTCAGGGCTTCTGAACAGGCCTCATAAACCAGCAACCCCACTGAGTAGGGAGGAGGTTTGGCAGGGTAACAACACAGCAAGACTTTCTTCTGCAATAGGTGTGGACTGTTAATTACCCTTCTTTATAGGGCTGTAATTGCGCATTAACCTTTGTGGTGCCACTATGGGACCCTATTTCTATGGATGTTTGGTACTTTAAAATACACTACAATAAATATTGAAGTCTTGCCTTCCTTGTTACTTTAGATTATTAACGTGTTTTTTTGTAATTCATATAGTTCTTTCATTTAAAAGTGGCTGCTGTGTTTTGGGTGTGAGAACCTCATTGTTTAGTGGGAGAGGAGGGATTGGAGCCCCACTGAGATGAGGAAGTTCCCCTTTACTACTGCTGTGCACAACCCACACACCTGCACATATTACCGTCTGTACAAACATCAAATATAATCTTGACACATTCAGATGCTATGAGGTAAGCTAAAGGAATGGTTCGACATTTTTGGAAAGAATGCTTATTTGCTTATTTAGGCAGGGTTAGAAACAACACCACTCATTTCTTTCTATTAAATATGAAGCTTGGCTTAACCTAAGGCTGGAAACAGGGAAATAGCTAGTGTGGCTCTGTTCAAAGTCAACAATTTGAAGAAAAACATTTCTAGTTTGTATGCCAAGCTAAGCTAGCTCCAGCTAAAATGGCTATTTGCCATACACTTAGGACAGTGGTATCAATCTTCTCATCAATCTCTTGGTAAGAAGAAATGAGTGCATTTCCAAAATGTTGAACTATTCCTTATGCATTTCACTCCAAGGTGCATATGAAGATTTAAAAAAATCAACATGGGTTAGAGTGAATACTAAAAATACTTGGGGAGTTTAATTGTGCAAAGGCTTGGTGTAAGTTGGTGCATCAGAAACTGTTTTCATGTAATGCCATGATGCTATGTAGTGTTGTGTGCTTGTATTGTTTTCTTATGTATTGAGTTCCTAGCTGTCAGCAGGTGCTGAAGGAGGAAAGCGTCATGGTATTGTTTGAAACGTGTCAGTTTATCCACCCTACCGGTCCACACAGGCAGGTGTAACTTGATGTCAGTTTGGATTTGAATCTCAAAAAAAAAAAAAGAAGTCCATCCATTCCTGCCTCAGCGCACAGGGAGGTTTAGCAGCCATACACATACAGTACTGTGCCACTCATATGGAAGTAAGACATATACTGCGTTTACATATTCCCCTGCTGGCCATTTTCTTAAGTTTCTCCAGCATCATTTTATGGTAGGCATTTTAAGTTAGTTAAGTTTTTTTTTTTTGCACTTTGGGTATTAGGGTGATTGTGTGAGGTTCCCCATTAGTTTACCCTGTTTGACATTAAAGTGTAGCTTGGAGACTTACAGTAGACCTGCACTGTTCTTCTCTCAATTTCTCAAAATATATCTGATCAACTCTATGTCTAAGCAAATGTATCTCTTTGTATGTTATGTGAATCCAGCAGTTATGGGTCAATGCAGCCTGACTGAAAGAGAAAGAAAACCTATAGAAAATGCCTATAATAAGTACATATAAGAGCATAAAATATTCAAATAAAAGATTATGTTGTAAAAAAAATTGTTTACCAACATGTTTTTAGATTTTCACTAACTGACACATACAATGGGAATTACAGATGTGCACCAGAAAACAGAATCTGTTTATGGTCAGCAGTGTTCGGCCTCCTTCACATTGCACTGTGTCTACAGTTTATGAAAACAGTCAGATAAGAAAGGGTGGAGTGTAAGTCAGGTCTGTTGGGTGCCGTTGCAGAGCCAGTCACAGGGGCACTGTTGAACTCTGTGGCCCCTTGTTGCTAACACGATCCACTGGCAAAAATCAGTTGTAGCTGCTATAGCTCACTGCAGAAAAAGTCCATGTCAGGAAGCCACAGGCTCTGTTAGACTGTCTTTTTTAAAGACACCAGGGATGTTTGAGCTGCAGAATGACACTTTGACTCAAAGAAAACCTCTCTCACCTGCTTTTCAAATGATGCAACTGCTGCCTGTTGTCACTGAACTAAAGTAGATGGGTATTTGTCTGTAATGGGCATTTTGAATAAATGGCTCAGGAGCCATGAAATATACATTTTAGGGGACTAGAATCCTGACAAACCAAGATAATAAAAAAGTTACTTTTAAAACATTTTTACAAGTTTTTAACTCAAGTTTTTACAAGATTTCAATATATGTTCAAAAACCTGTATATTTATAATCCATATCCAATCCATAAAGACAGGATATACTGCTTTTGACATCTGAAAAGACTATGATTATTTGCACATTTCTTTAGGGGAAGACTTGTTCTTATTTGCTCAGAAACCAGTTTCCTTTGCGGAGTGGAAAGTTGAGCTCTTCCCTCCTTGTGTCCTCTGACAGAACCTCAGTATAGAGGCCGCCAAAAGGTATTTACTCAAGGTTTTATTGCATCAACCAGCCAGGCTGCTGCTGCTCAGTGAGACGTTTAACCATACTGTTAATATGAGTTGATGAACCTGTTGAGCCTTTAGCATGGCTCCCATCTTGTGAGCTTTCTAATTCGCCAGTCAGTTTAAATGCATATTATTATTTTTTAAAAGTACAATGAAACAAATTAACTTCACTCTTCTCAGGCCAAGCCCTCACCGCGTCACATCGTAGATGAGGTAAATGAGACGACAGTCTTGTCAGACCAGCTGGCAGCAGATAAGAGAGAGAGAAGCCTGTTCTACTGGTCTGTCAGGGGAGCTGACAGCAAACACATCCGTTTTCTTTGTTTGTTTCTAAAAAAATGACCTGAGCCAGTGTTACGAGTGTGTGTGCGGCTTATGTGTCTATGAAGGCAGGTTTAAACTGCCATTTTCAAATCCTCTGGCCATGTTTGAGCTGTTCCAGTGATGCTTTTATTGACCTGGGATTACATTTTTGATGGACCCTCTGCTGTGTGTCTCCCCTTTAATCGCTCTGTTCCCACCTCCATATCAGTCCTATGCCATTCCTGTGTGATGACATCTCTTCAGTTTTATTACTTTCAGTGGTGTTGCATTGTCTGTGACCAGAGATAGGATCAGAACTAGTGTGGTTTACATAAAACTTTAGAGGCAATAGATTTAGAAACAGTCATTAATAAAGACTTTAACTTCAAAAGGGGTATTCTAATTCAGGGAGTGTGTTTAGTTAACATTTTAATAATAAATGATGAAGAAGCCAACACCAAACAAACCCTTTAACCCTTATGATGTTGGTGATACCGTTCAGTTGACCCTAATCTTTAACTTTTCTTTTGAGTCCTAATTATGAATAAACCCTAATACTAAAAACTTCCCCTTGGATAACTGTTGATGTAATGACAGGGCTGTTTCCTTCCTGGTTGACAATAGATAGGCATGCACTGATTTGTGTCTCAGGGATAAATATGTGTGCTCTAATCAGCTGTGAATTTTGAAGATGCTATGTCATTTCAAATTGATAAATACCCCCATGGTTACCACATACCAATGGCATGCACTCCACACACAAAATGGCATCACATAACAAAAGATGGACAGTGTGAGTG